CGTCAGGGCCAGCAAGGCCTTCTCTGCTGGCCTAAACAGAATCACAAGGTTATAGCTATTTAATAATTTTTCATAAATACATTACATGTATTATAATTTATAAAAATATTTTTCCCATTATCTTATTTTCTCATTGCACAGCTACTGTCTTCCTCAGTTGCTCTGCTTTCAGCAGCTTGTTTTAAGTAGAGCTTTTATCCAATCAGATTTCACCTCTGTGTCTCTAGGTAAGAAGAGAGGCCCGAGGCCTGCAGACTCACAAGTGCATCCATGTGCAGTTTAAGTGAATGGGGACAATGTTGTTGATTGTCATAGTCTTCAACCAATCAGATCTTTAGTTTGACATGTTGGGCGTATTCTTTAACGTGCCAGAGCCTGCTAGCTGGCCTACAACTAGTCAGCATTAACTGGCAGCTCAGTTTTAAGGAGCAGCTCTGCAGTGAGGTGCAGCGTGCGCTGTGATTGGTCAGTGGGCGAGCACGTGACTATCGTGAAACGAAACTTAAGGAAGCTGGCAAAGCTTAGTCGGAGTCGTAAGAGTTCAAATTGAAAGATATGGAAGAAATGATGACATTGTTTGCATTTTGCTTGGTGTAGATTATTATTATTTTTAGCTAGCTTTGTTTTTTTAACACTCAATGGCTGAAGGAGGAGAAACGGATTTGTGAGTTGGTATTTAACCGAGGGATTAAACTCTTTGTCAACAAAGAAAGGAGGATGGAGTTTGTCTTTAAGTGAACAGCATTTGGTAAGTCAACTGCGTTTATTGTTTTACATCTAATATCTGAATGGCCCTCGAGTGTGTAGCAGAATGCGTGTTGCTGCTGTTGTTTTCCCGTTAAGCTAGTTTAGCGTAGCCTCCCAGACCACGTGCAGGGCCACAGCTGTTTTGTTTTTTGTTTTTTTTTGTTCCGGGTTCAGAGATCACAGCCCGTTGTCTCCTACGTGATCGCAGAAAACATTATATTTCCCACAATTTAAGCTTCTGCATTTTCCAAATGCACTAGTATTATTGAAACGTATTGTTCGGTTCGTAAGCCTCGTACCGAACGGTTTAATACGAATACGTGTGTTCAGCTGCAGGACAGCAGTGAAGGCCCAGGTATAAAATGCAGGGCCTGCCACTGGCACCCATCCATATACACAGGCACATATACAGTACATGCAGGTGTCATGGAAAAACAAGGTGAAAATGAAATACAGACTCTTTGATTTGGGATTGTAATCAATAATTCTCCCTAAAAAGTACTTTATCTTAAAACGCTTCTCACACAACCCACACAGCCTTAAACTATGCTGTTATCAATCATTGTGTTTGGCACAGCAGCTGCTATCTGCTCTTTCAAAACAATAAAAACTCCTCTGTTTGATTGTTGACACTTTATGTTAAGACATAGCATTATTTTAACACAACCCACTTTGTAGGACTGATGTTGTTTGGTTCATTTGCGGGGCTTCTGTCAAGCTAGCATAAGCTAACATAACAAGCTAACACGACGGTAGGGCGGCTGCATTTTAAGTCAGCTAAAAGCCTTCATTTTATCCATATATATGAAGATTTTGTATTTGCATTTCATAATTCTGCAGAGCGTCTTTTATATGAGCTCTTCGCTGCTCTACGTTTTCCAAAAGGTTATCAATGATTCTGTCTGAAAAAGTTGCACAGCAGCTGCCATGTAATCTGTTCTTTCTCCTAAAAAGCTTTACTAAAACCGGAGGTTTGTCTGGCCTGATTGCAGAGTGAACATGTTATAGAAAGAGGACCCGAGCCAGGCTGTGTAATCACAGATTACTGAACCACACTATACTCTGCCTCTCTGTTGACTTTCAAAATGAAGACATTCGTTTCAGCTTGGGTTTTCTTGACAAAAAAGGACATACAAATCCACAGCAACATTTACAAGTTTTCAGATTTATAGTGTAAATAAAAGATCATTTGGCCTGCTTTGCACTGGTGAAGTAATGATACACAAGCCAGTGTAGTGATATTCTGATTTATTGTCCTCCTGTGGCTCAAACATTCAAAGCCACCACACAAGAAAGAAACTGTCTAATAATAATATCACCACACTTTTACACTTCAACTCCAACAAGGTCATTTAAGAGGCTGGCTGCATTCGTTACATGAATTCTCCTGAACGTTACCTCTGTACAAGCAGGAATGTGTTTGCGACAGATGTATGAGCGTGACTGTATAACATCTAATAAATAGGTATTCCTGAATGAAGAATTAGGTTTATATTAGTCTAATACCGCTGCATAAAGTGAAAATCCACCGTAAAGCACACCTGGCATATTTTATCTCTATGGTCTTGAACAGTTAGAGGCAGATTTCTGAACGTGAGCCAGATGTAGGAGAGCCAACACTCCACCATTAAGATACACCTCCATTCACAGTGACTTATAATCAACAGTCGGATAGGCTGTATCAGTAGGCTGATGTTGATTTGTGTTGAAGAAGAAAAAAAAGTCACTTGAGCTCAAAAGCCAACCCATTCCACAGGTAAGTGCTTTTTTTAATCTGCTGCCAGAGTGCCACACATTGTCAGTGGAGTGTGTCTGAGTTTTGTCTCTCATATTATTACTTGTAAGTCTTGTCAAAAATATTAGCAAGGAATATGCCAGGGTCATTAAAGGCTTATGATGGGCCAAACAGTTGAATCAAAAAATAAAGTTTGAACAAATTCCAACTAATGTAATTCCTTTTAATTAATTATTTTGATTTGAATTCCAAACTATGTGTTGAATTGACGTTTTGTTCCTCACTTGATGACAAGCTAACATGACAAGCTGGTGTGTTACATTAAGAAAGTTCTACTTCAAGTCAAATAACTGCCTTGATGTGATCCATGATTTTTCCCTTTGCAGTGTCCAATCCAAAATGCCCTCTCTCTTTATTTCCCAGATAGTTTGGAGTCGTGATAGCTCATTCAGCACGGCTCGCTGCTTTTCTGTTTTACTTATAGTTCACTGATAAGGAACGCAGTGAGTCACACAGATGACCCTTGGAGTACAGGGCTTGTTGTGCTTTATGCATATGAAGTATGAATTCACAGACCATCACAATTTGAATATTTTGTGTTCTAATTTCAAAGAAAAAGTAACAGATAAACTAACAATATCTGGCCAATAACATGTCGATTTTTTAAATTGAAAAAATACCAAAAGCATTTGCATATTTCTCCATTTAATTTTCAGATCTCCTCAGTAACCCTCCAAACAACTCGCATCAGTCGGTTCAACACATTCTGGGTTGGGTGTGGCAGCTGATATAAAACAGGTGCCTGTGTGTGGTGCTGATTTCCTGTTCAACTCATCATGTGGTTGACACCTCGTAGTATTGATTTAACTCATATTTGACGCCACTGTCGTTAGAGAGCTTGGGTACGCGGACCACAGCCCATTGATCTGTTAATCAAATCGGCATGAGAACTAGTCAGTAACACACTCACAAAACATTTGGCGGTCCACAGGGAGCACTTAAGTTTGATCTTTATCTTTCCCTTTAACTTCAACCACGCAGCAGCAGTTCCCATGGCTTTGATAATGTAGTCACAGAGCGGTGCAGAAGGAGCAACAGTTGCTGGTTTTTCGTCTCAGACTCCCTCTGTCTTCAGCAGTTATCTCAAAGAGATTTACGGACATTTTCACTTCTCTTACGCAAAACATTTCACTCATGCATTTATAATTTCACCCGACCAGTCATGACGGTTACACCTTGTATAACCCAACATCAATCCCTCTGACTGTAAGATCAAGCAGACATGTATGAAGACGACCTTTAATGCAGTAGAGACAGTATCTCTACATCTGTGCCGTATTAAGCAGCGAGAGCACGTGGGTTAGAGCACCACCGAACCTGAGCCTCTTGGTGAGAAGCCTCCTGCTGCTTTTGAACACAGGCATCCACCCTGTCATGTTCCCCGGAGCACCGGAGGTCATTTCCCACCCTGCTGATCTGCTCTAAACAACTCAAAGGAAAAGCGTCATTTACTCTGCCATTTGTGGAAGACAATTACAGCTCACAGGCAAACTGCCAGTGAGGACTGAAGCCACTCTGGCCACCAGTTTGTACATTCACAGCAGTGTTGCTTTTAGAAGCAGTCGAGTATGTCAAGATTTAGAGCGGGGAGCTGGGTCTGCGCTCTGCTGGTGCCACCAACAGTTACAGTTTCCTCAGGGAGGTGGCAGTGTTGATCAGACTACACATACTGTAGTAGGACAGCGCACACACACACATGCTCAGCCTCACAGAACGTATGTCGAAAATAAACACAGAAAGTGTGTGTGTGTGTGTGTGTGTGTGTGCGAAGGAGATAGATGGATACAAAGCCCTAACAGCTGCTGTGTGTTAAGGGGAGTTTAAATCAGCGCTGCAATCTGTGCCCTTCCTCCCTCTTTGATATGCCCAGGTACACCCACCCACGCACCTACACAAGCACCATCAGCTTCCAATTCAGCCACATTAAGATAACCTCTGATCCCTCTCCAGTGTCTACTCTCCCTTTATCAGCATGCATACAGAGCCACAGAGTGAGGCTCTCCGCAGTAGGTTAGCGACTGGCATGCAACAAGTGCACTAACCTGCACGAGACATCACCCTAATATATCGTGCTTTTTGGAGGAGAACACTCACAGCTGTAAACTGATGACAGTGTGACCTCGGGGCTCAGGTGGGTTTCTGACTTATGCTGGCCTCCCTCCAGTATTCCTCGTAACGTCACATGCCCGCAGTATATAAAACACATATGTCACTTTGCTGCTGTCACTGAAGAGCACATCATGAGTGTCAACACAACTCATCGAAGACGTGTGTCATAGAGCTGGATGGAATGGATGTCATTCCATCCAGCTCTATGGAATGACATAATGTACACAGGATCACCTATAAATGCCATGTGTTGACAGACAAACTGTTTGCAAGGCTCTTAAGAATAAACACAGCTGAACACAGCAACTGTCATATCCAGATACAGAGACATCATGTGTCATTGACTTACCTGATCTAAACTTGCTTCGTATCAGAATGGAGTGTTCAGAGCCCAGAAGAGTCATAATGCTTACAGTACAGTTCCAGTGTTCAAAAGTTGGAAAATAAAGTCACACACTCTCAAGCGGTACACACTTGGACCCCGCTGGCCACCTCTAGACTCCAGGCTGAGATGAGATGGAGTGGACCCAGACTGCCTCATCAACAGCTCTAGAGATAAACGGGCTTCCTTGTGGAATCTCTCTCAGCCAGTGTGCACACTAGCAGCAGCCTGTTGCTCTCTGTTCCCTTGCTGCCTCCTCTCCTCTGCTCTCTCTCTCCCGGGGGCTGATGTGGGAGTGTGGGAGTCTGCGGGCCAGTGAAGCTTTGGTCCCATCTAGCTGAGAACTCTTGAGCAGGGCCAGGGACAGCATGGGGATATGCCCCGCTCAGGGAGGGGCTACCCGGCCAGGGTTTCCTCTAAGCTCCGCCTGCCACAGCCCGGAGGCTGGACAGCGCTTCCTCCCTGGCCACCAGTGTAAATATATCTGCCTATCAGCCCTGCTGACTGTCATTAGAGCTGAGAGGGGGGGGGAGATCAAGATAGAGACAGACGCTGATAGTGGAGCAGCAGTACAGCCAGGAGGGGGAAAGTAGGAAAAGCAGGGATGCAAGAAGTGAAACCTATTGCATTAACAAAAAGTTGGTTCCATTCTCGTTTACTTTGATTGGATATTTTCTGGTCTAAATCAGGAAAACCTTCTAACTTAAGACTGTATTTTAAGAATTCAGTCCTGGTTGATTCAAAATTTCTGTTTGTCTGAAAACAATGGATGGACTACAAGCGACAAAAACAAAACAAACAGACACCGTGGCCAGCGACATTGTTGGCTATTTGCCGTTAAAGTGTTTCTCAAGCGTTCGTTGGCGTAGTTATGTTGTGCACCGGGAACTAGCAAACCACATTTTTTAGAAGGAATAGAACAGAGTGTCTCCAAGGCCAAATATTCAAATATATAATAGTTTCATCAGTGGGCCATAGGCTTATGGCCCATTGTGTTACCTCCTGTGGCGAAATATAATAACTGACTTTTATTTGAATGAAAATCTAAAGATTGCCACTTTAAAGTTCCACTAATTAGTATCTTATGCAACAATAATTGAAAGGTGTCACTTGATGCGACAAACCTACAGAGGATGTTTATCCATTCTGCTGACCCTCAGCTCTATGGAGCATTTTAGCATCATTCAGCTCATTCTTTTGGTTCTTAGTCTCACACGTTCATCTGTTTCCAGCAGCAGGTGGCTGTTTCAGTGAAACATCACTACCTGCTCAGCAACAAACAGCAGACAGACAAAGCAGAAGTGGAGTATTTAGCAGCTAAAGAGTGACCTTTTTCTCAGATAGGTTATAAGATACGTTATGGTTTTATTTAACGTCTCACAGAAACAGTTGTAATGCTTTTTCCCCTTTATCTACTTTTTTCCTTTTCTATATGCTTTGGAAACTGAAGAAAAATGACTGGTCACCATGAAAGTCTGTCAGACTTATAAGTCCAAGCTTTCGTTAAATGCAATATGCCTTTAAAGTGAGATTAAAACAGCATACTCATTATAATTGATTAAAGGGTACACACAGTCACAAAGTGTGCTTCATGTAATGCTGAGTCATCTGAAATAAACTTGTTTTGGCCCTCCCTTTTAAGTATCAAACTGGACTTTATCCACTGTGATTTATTGATGTACGCTGCAATAAGTGATCAAGTAAGTAAGTGAGTAAGTGATAAGTGATGAGTGCAGTCAGTCAGCCAGCAGCTGAAAAGCAGGAGTTTTATCTTCTTCTCCAGCCTGTATTCAACACGGCATCCCTTCCTCCAGCTCCCACATACCAGACAGACATTTGTCAGAGTTGAACTACGCTCTGTGCCCGCTCTCCTCGGGGGGCGGCGATAGCCAACTGCAGATCATATACAGTACATAGCAGAGCGTCCTAAATGTCCGTCAACACAGGACGTCAGCTGGACACGACAAGGCTTTGTTTATTCCTAGGCTTAATTTGAACATATTTTGGAATGTGACACAGTGCTTGAAACTAGGCACAATAGAAACACACCAAAAACAGTAGAAACTATCTCAAAATCCAACACAGTAAGAATGTTGGGGCAGTGTCATTTATGTATCCTGTTTTTTTGTTGCACAGCAAGTGTCAATGTCTATGATGGCTGTTGTTCCAGAGGGCTACTCTCTCTCCAAACCCAGATTAGTCCCAGCTGAGAATGTGGGGAGGCTAAATGCTGGAATACAGTATATGTCCATGTACCAGCCTGGCTTCCTCTCCACTGTGCAGAGGGCAATTCAAGAAAGTTACAACATTACATTTTCATGTTTCATTTGTATTTCATTATTTCACTGGTTTATTTTTTCTAAGCAATATATTTAATATATTTAGCAGGTAGAGCTAAATAGAAGCAGGTCTGACAAGTGGATTGCATTGTTGTCAATAATATACCAAATATCTGTTAAAGGTAAGACCACTTTCATGTCTGCATGCTAATCATGGAGCTAGAGCCAGGATACAGTTAGCTTATTTTAGCATTAAGACTGGAAGCAGGTGGAAAACAGCTAATCTGGCTCTGTCCAGTTCAAAAACACCAACACCAACAGCTTGCATATTTGTAAAGCTCACCATTTTCACATTTTTGTTTTTGTACAGATGAAACAAACAAGATGCATATTAATTACTGAGCGTTAGATGTGCTGAAAGGCATATCTTAATCTTTAGCAAGAGCCAGGATTGCTTCCCACCTGCCTCCAGTCTTTATGCTAAGCTCGGTTAAAGTCTTCTTGGCACTCACTCAATATTAAAACCAAAGTCATTTTGATTTCCCCTCTGGTAAGCAGACTTCTCTAGATAACACAATATATTTAGCTTGTTCATAGAATGGAAGTGTTTGCAGTGCTCCCTCTGGTAATTCTTCCCTCCATTTGATTTGAATGCCTTTTCCTTTCCTTTTTCTTTCCACCTTGTTTATCCCCACAAGCCCATCTCCGGCTTGACTTTGTCCCAAAGTTATGATTCTCTTAAAATATCCACCAATTTCCTACCATGCCACTATACAGTTTGCTACTGTAAATAAAAAGGCTACCAAAAAAGACGTGTGTGATCACTACAGGCCTTTTCTCCACATTGTGTAAAAGCTGCAGTGACACAGCACTAATCAGTCATTGAGAGCTTTGTCCAGCAACAGCTCACTGCTTCTGCCTCGCCGCTATCCATTTTAATCTCTTCACACCATAAACACTGCTCGGCTTTTGTTGCAGAGGAGCCTCTACACACAGCAGGGCGATGAACACACCAAAACATAGAATCCTTTAGTGTAATAAATGACACGGCCTATCTGTTTGCTGTAGCTTGTGCGCTGACGTTTGCTGGAGCGAGCTCCGAAAACCCATACAATGCTCAAGTCAAATATTTACAGAGAGGCTTCTTGGGCTGCAAATCTATCGCGGATATTTGTGGGTACATTTGTCTTGTATGGGCTGTAAATGAACACACACACACACACACACACACACACACACACACACACACACACACACACACACACACACACAAATAACACATATGTACATGCACACACACAACACTCCTGCGTCTTAATTAGCAGGTGAAAGTGCTTAAAGGGAAGGTCTGTCAGAGGGTTTGACAGTGTACACACAGCGTCTCAGAGAGATTCCTGAAGAGGTCACCCAGCCCTGGCTTAATCCTCCCCTTTAATTGGGCCCTATGTCAACGGATGTGACAAATCTCATCTGAACTGTCTGGAGCTGTACATGTGTGTGTGTGTGTGTGTGTGTTTGAGTGTGTGTGTTGGATGGAGATCATGCTCATATACCAATTAGACAGATTTGAGTGCACATTTTGTACATAATATAGCATTGTGTCAGAGTCCGGCTCCTTTCACTCTGCTATGTGATGCATATTGCAAAAGCAATAAGTCATACGCCTTTGCATAGAGCATGTTCAAAACACACATTCCAGAATGCAACCAGTGAGCACGTGTTTATTGGCCGACTGCACAGACATCTAGATCAAAAAATGACTGTTAGTGTTTTGTGTGATTTCTTGTGTTTTAGATAAAGCAGATGTGGCTGGTTGAAATGCCCGAACTGCACAAACTATCATAAAAATGAAGTCCACATTCAGTGAGGGAATTACAAACACTTATTACGTAAGATGTGTCTGGAATTTTGAACAAGACCGTCGTCACATTGTCATGCCATCAGTTCCAATAAAAGATGAATCAGTGGTACTTAGCTCCCCGAGCTGCTGATAGGAGCAGTCACGTATTTGAAATGCTCTGAATATCTTTGCTCATATGCCATGTGTGGGATCCATCTGCCTGAGACAGGGTCACAGGAGGAAGTGTACTAGAATGCACTGTGCGATGTAGTATGAATGGAACATAATGTTGAGCACCATGGGAGCTGCCCTGCATGTACTCAGCTGTTATACTGTTATACTGCACTGTTATACCTCATTCACAGTCCTTCAAATAAGATCAAACCAAGCAGGGGCAAGGCTGGATTAGGATACCCCCGTGCAAAGTGGGCAACACAAAACCCCCGGGGCTTATCAAGTGTTTTATGCAAACTGGGTCTTCTACTACATATAACCCATAGGGGGAGGATTATAGGAGAGACTATGACTATAAATGTATTGAAAGGAAAGGATGGATTGGACGGCTGGTAGAGAGGTGTGTGTGTGATGAGGCAAGGGGGGTGAGGTTAGGAGATAGAGGTTGATAGAGCGCGGGTAAAGACTTTGTTTGATGACGAGAGGCGAGGTTGTCAGGAGTCCACATGATATGAGTGGGGGGTCTTGGAGGGTGCTTTGTGTTGTAAAGGGACAGATAGTGGCCCCCGGCAGCAGCTGTGTGCTGTCAGTCTGAGTGCTGTCTGGCTGCTGTTTCTTAGATAGCAGCTCTCCTCTGCTCACTGTGCCTGTGCTGGGTGGCCCTCAGGTAAACGCTAACAATTCAATAACCAATCAGGATGCTGAGAAAGGGGCCTGCACACAGACTGTATATTAGAAGTGGAAGTAGTCATCGTGGCGTCACCCATTAGTTAGTGGACTCCCGTTATGAAGCCTTGAGTTAGGAAGCTGTCATCGTTTGGAATGTGGAGGAGTGACGTAGAGACGCCGTATATGGCTCTGGTAGCGGCAGAGACCTGTCAATCACAGTAATCCCACCTTAAAGCATCCCCTGCTTTATGGTCTGTTTGACTCAAAATGGACCATAATGTACTAAATGAACATCATGCTGTATTGAAGAAGACTTGAAACTAGAGATTGAGACCATAAACTCATGTTTACAATGTTTACTGAGGTAATAAATCAAGAGAGAAGTAGAGTCATTTTCTCATAGACTTCTATACAACCAGAG